CATATACTTACTATCAGTAAACACATGGAACCAACAAAAACTAATTTTCAACACATGGAACCAACAAAAACTAATTTTCCTCACCCAAAAAAAAAAAAAGAAAAAAAAAAGAGAGAGAGATAATATTTCCATTGCCGAAAGTAGGTTGACTGTGAGAGTTTGCACAAATGAGTGAAATAACAGGTAAGCAAAAGTTTTAGGGAAAAAATGGTAGGAATAAAAAGTGAGTTTGTGGGAAACTTTTGCTTCACTATCGGGTAAGCAAATGTTTAAGGGTTCTTTTATTTATTTATTTTTCAACTTAATCCTTGACCGTTAAAAACTATCAAGGATTGAGACTAAACTGTCAAGAATAAAATTCGTAAAATTTATTTTTTACCAAATCCTTTACAGTTAATGTCAAAGATCATTTATAATGTCAAGGAATATTTCAAATTCTTGACAGTTTTGGGAATGGTCAAGAAAATCTGTCAAATTATTTTGTCAAGGATGAGGTTTTTTCTAGTAGTGTACTGCGCCCAATGCTTTGCCATCAAGTTCGATGTTGAATTTGGTCCAGTTATGAGGGGTGGATAGTACGATGCAGTTGGTGCGGTTACGTTAGAGAAAGGGAAGCTTGACTTGACATAGAAACAATTACAGTCTAGCTCTGAGGTTAGTTGTGAAAAAGTTTTGGTTGATAACCAAACTTGGACCTCACTAAATTTCTTATTTTTATGTGTTAAATTTGTTTGTTTTAATTTTTTATTGTTGATTGAAGTATGTTAATTTATAGGAAGTGTTGCGTTAGGGTAATTTGATTCATCGAATTGGGATGATTTCATTGACCATACAGAGGTTTCTATTGGTTTACTTTTTTATGTTTGAAGTCTCCCTTAGGAATTAGAGAGAAATTTCAACGCAGTTTAATGAAATCAAACTTGTAGATTCTAAATTTTAGATCTAGAGTAATGTTTCTTGTGAGTATTTGTTAAAATCGAAGATATTTTAAGAGGATGGTTTTCCTATAATTTAGGGAAAGTGCACTCAAACAATATTGACACAACTATTTCTAAGTATGAATATTGTGGATTGGGTTTACATAGTGGATGCCCACACAAAAATTTATATTGAAGCCATGATTTAAATGTAAAAGCCATTTTAGGAATTTATAAACCTCCAGATTGCCTTAAAATTATCCCATTTATAATGACCTAGGACTAATATATATTACAATTCTTTGTTATAATTCTGTTTGAAACTTCAACTTCTTTTTTTTTTTTTTGGGTAAAAGTTCACAGTTGTTATTTGTCTTCATGATGTGTATATTCTCATATTTGTTTGAAAGTTTGTGTAGCTGTCTTTTAGTTGCCGCTTCAGGCAACTCATTCTAAAGAGTACTGATGTCATAATTGTTAGGAAAACCCTTTACTAGCAAGGGAACCGTTTTAAGTGAATTGATTAGAAGCACATGATTATGGTAAATTTGTATGCTGAATGGCTTACAGACAAGTAATAAAATGGAATAGATGGGATTTAAATGATGCCTAAAAGTACTGTTCTTAGGGTTGTTATTAGTTGTTTGAGGTATCTGAGAACAATGACGGGTCTGTTTGGTCTACTATTTTCTACCCTATTTCCAATCCTATTTAGGAAATACTATTATATTTTATTCAATTCTTTTAGACCCCTTAAGTTTATTAATTTAGTTAAACACCCCTAGAAAAAAGTTTAAAAATTAACAAAAACACCTTCACCCACCCACATTTGCCAGATTCTGGAAGGTGGTCGGAATTTGGTATAATGGCACACTACTGGCTGGATCTTGCCGATAGTGTTGTGTAAGAAATATAGGTCATTTGGGTCAATCAAAAAAGGGGGTAAGGCTAGCTTTTCGATTATGGATTTGAGTTTTTTACGGGAATCAATGAATTGAGGTTTTAGGGTATGGTTTTTTCCTTTGAGAAGAATTTAGAGTACAATTTTTTTCTTTCTTTTTTGAGTTTTTACAAGTAAGGACCCCTACAAAGTGAAGTTCCTTGGACAAGCCCAACCAACCAATCCAAAGAAAATAAAAGAGGTGGCATGGATTTACAATCCATAAAAACCACCAAGCAAGCCCCAAAGAGGACTATACAAAATGACCAGCAACATAAAAACGATGTTGGACTTTGATATACAAAAGCCTGCACAACAACTACTAAAATCCTGCTTATTTGCACAACCAAAATAAGAAGAAAAGGATGGAGCAATAGCCTGCAATCTATAAATAATTCCCAATTGAAAACAACTCCAAAAAATGTTATAGTTAGCGACAATAAAAGCCTTCTTCCTAGCCTCTAGGACTTCAACAGGGAAGTAACTACAGACCAAACAGTAAGACTCGCCCAGCACACTCAAATAAGTAAGCAAGAATGCAATAGCTCCCTTAGAGGAAAAGACTTGGCGACATCCAAAATTTGAAGAGTTAAAAAGCAATACCAACCTTGCCAGCTTAAAAAGCAGCCACTCATAAAACTTCTTTGACCAAAAAACAACATACCTAGACATGAGCTCCACCAAAAAACAACAGTCCAAAAACTATGACCTTGTAACTGATAAGAGTGAATCCATTTCACCAAAAGGGATTCTCTCCTTGAAACAATCGACCAAGCATGGAACACCATCAAAGAGACATTCCAAATGGAGAGCAGTCTAAGCCCTCAATTGGATTTAGGCCTGCATACATCCTTCCAAGCAACTTTAACTTGACCTTTTACCAAATCACCACCTGACTAGAGGAAGGCTCTCATCTTTTTTTTTTTTTTTTTGCCATAGCTTTAGTCACTGAAGAGGGTAGCACAAAGATGGAGGCCCAATACACATGCATGGAAGACGACCAACATAGGATAGAAATTTATTCTTCCAAGTGTCAAGATGATGATCAACTTTCTCTTAAAGAGGCATATAGTCGATGTGATGTAGACAGGAGGTAATCAGAGGAACTCCCAAATATCTTACTGATAATCCTAAGATTATATTGTTTTTCTTATGATTTTAGTAGGATTTTTAATACTTCTCATCGGATTCTGGCCTGAATTGTTACTTAATTTAGTCTATTTTATGTTTCAGGCCTAAATCCTAAACTGTAGAGAAACATCACAAATTTAGCTCATTGACCCAGTTTTGATCGTTGTTCAGAAGGTTGGAGAAGTTCTGAGGTTGATTGGAAGCACTCTTGAAGCTTGATTTGACCGGAGACCAAGAAGAGTGAAGATTCAAGTGAAAAGACAAGCGGAGGGCAGTTCAATGATTTCAGGCCTCAAAGACAGAACTTCTCTATGGCAAGGTTTTTACTTTGCCACAGCAAAGTTTCCCTTGGAATGTTTAAGTGTCACGATTTTAACTAACTTCACCACAGCGAAACTAGAAAAAATCAGTTTTGTAAACGACACGTTTTGCTTTTGTTGGCTATTTGTCCTAAGGTTTTAGGCTACTATTTAAAGAAAGTTATTTTATTTTGAAAAGGAGTTTGTCATTTGTAAGGGATTTTAGAGGAGAAGAAGAGTTTTTGAAGATTTGTACTCCAAATTATAGAAGATTTTTCTCACTCTTCCTTTGATATTATGTTGAACTCAAGTTATTCCATTTGTTTATGTATTATTCATTTTTATCATGAACTAAACTATTTTAGTTAGGGGTTTTATGAATCTTTGATTATACTTGCTTAATCTATGAAATTCCAATTGTTCTTAAGTTCTATTATTGTGATTAAAAACTCTCCAATTTTATTGTGTTTGGATATTGGGTTTTCATACAAACAACCTGTTGAACATGTTGAGGTTGAGAAGTGATTCATGTGTGGCTTCTAGGGATAGATACCTTTAGTTGAGTGAAAACTAGAGATAAATAATCGTGAATAATCTGGATAGGATTCCACAGTGCTTAAGAGGCCTTGAACTATTAAGTCTCAATTTTTGGGTGTGAAGACTTAATAGGAATAGATGGGACGGTATAACCCAAGAGGGAGGGCCAAACATCTTAGGGAGTTCGATTTTTAATCATGACAATGGAATTTGAACAATTGGAATTCATTGGTTAACTTAATATAGCTTGGTGAAGTTAAAAGCCCTAACTTCTTTGTTTTAAGAAGTTTAATCCATTTGCTTTAATTTAGTGTTATTTTAATTTCTTGCGAGTTTTAAATACTTTGTTTTAGTTTAATTCATTTTGTCTCCCATCAATCCAATTTTTTATGTTCTTCAATTAGTTATAAATTAGAAATTTCGATAGTTAATATGCAATCCCTATGGGACGATACTCATTTCACCACTCTATTACTTTTTGTGACTAGTGCACTTGCTACGATGCATGTGTCTTAGTAAAACACGCATCAATTTTTTGGCGCTGTTGCCAGGGATTGTTTGTGTTGATATTGATAAATTTTAGTTTTGGCTAAGTTGGAGTTTTAATTTTAGGTTTTACTTTATTTTAGTTTAATTTGAGTTTTTGTTTTGTCTCACACTTTGTCTCTTTTTTGTGTAGTTTATGCGAAGAACGAGAAGTTGAACTTTGGTTCCAATAGATCATGAGATCGAAAGAACAAAAAGAAGACTCATCAAAGAAGAAAAGAAAGAGAAAGACAAGAGATTCCACCTCTAATCATAGCTGATAACAGAACTTTGAGGGAGTTTGCACTTTCACTAGTTGACATATGTAGTCAGAGCATAACAAGACCGTCTGTTGAGGCAAACAGCTTTGAGATTAAGCTGACTATCATCCAAATGATTCAGCAATCAGTACAGTTCAGCGGAGATACAAGAGATGATCCAAATCTACACATAACAAACTTCTTAGAGATTTGTGATACATTCAAGTCCAATGGAGTGACAAATGATGCCATAAGATTAAGACTATTTCCATTCTCGTTGAGAGATAAGGCAAAGGGATGGCTAATGTCACTACCAGCTGGAACCATCACAACTTGGAATGAGCTAGCACAAAAGTTCCTTGCCAAGTATTTCCCACTGGCCCTTTCAGCTAAAATGAGAAATGATATCACTTCATTTGTGCAAAGCGACAGTGAATCCTTGTATGAAGCATGGGAAAGATACAAGGAATCAATGATAAATTGTCCACACCATTGTTTGCCAATTTGGATGCAAGTCCAAACTTTCTATAATGGGTTGCTTCCAAATGTTTAAACAATGATTGATGCAACATCCGGGGGAGCTTTGCAAAACAAGACACCAGTTGCAGCTTATGAGTTACTTGAGGTCTTGGCAAGTAGCAACTATCAGAGGCCTAGTGAGAGAGCAATTCCGAAGAAGAGCATGGGTCTACATGAAGTTGATGCTTACACAGTAATAACTACTCAACTTGCAACACTTTAGAGACAAATAGGAGGTAGCAAGTTAATTCTATTCAAACACTTCAGGTGCTCATGCAAGTGTTGAATGTCAAACAGGGAATACATTTGCTTCATCATCGTCATCAGCGGAGCAAGTTAACTATTTGGCTGGCAATCAAAGACCACAGAACAATCCATACTTAAGTACCTACAATCTTGGTTGGAGAAACCATCTGAATCTGTCTTGGAGCAATCAAGGCAACCAAGGTAATCGAGGGAATCAAAGACTAGTGAAGAATCAACAACCGGTGGTAAATCTTCAACCAATTGAACAAAGAGTGTCTAAGTTGGAAGACATGTTTGAGAAATTCATGATCAAGACAAGAACAAGCTTCAGAAATCAGGGAGCTTCTATTCGAAACTTGGAAGTTCAAATAGACTATGACCAACCCATGTGAACAAGCAAATGAAATTTTTCTTAGAAGTGGGACAATGTTGGAAGAGAGTGAACAAAAGAAGAAAGAGGAGACACATCCAAAAAAGAAGGAAGAATCTAAAGAAGAAATGGATGAAGAAATCACTATAGGAACCATGTCATGAACAGCGTGGAATTACAACATAAATTTTCTTGCCATGGCACAATCCCGTTACCCAAGATAAGGATTCAGAATTAATAATGAACATGTAGAATTTAACCTGTACAAGGTTATGTGATTTACCTCCATTGGCGACTCCTCCTCTGGATCTTTCAAACCAGTCGCTATCAATCTAATGTACAATTAAGTCCATCAGTATCCACACTAAGGTAGGCTCGGGATCACCCAAGAATTGACTGCTAGATCAATTAGAGGGCTTAAATGAGGTGGTAGATTAGAGAGAGTGAATTTCTCTTCTAGGGTTTGCAGCTAAGGTTTTTGGGAGAGTTAATTTTGCTATTTAATTTGCAAAATTAACTTTATGATTATTAGCTCTGTTAAAATAAAACCCATGACCCTTTATATACACAATCCCAAATAAGAGTTCAATAAGGATTGTAAATACTTAATTCCTATTTGGATTGGATTACAATCCTTTTAATTCCTATTTGAATTGGATTGCAATCCCTAATATAAGGGATTAGAATATCTTTTAAAGATATTCTCCTAATTAAATAAATATCCCTATTTATTTAATTCCTATATAAATACATATTCTAATTAAATAAATATTACTATTTATTTAATCCATATAATTTTATATATATTTATGATATTTAATATATGGTTTTTAATATATTTTTAATTAAATTAAATATATATTCTCCATATTAATTAAAATTAATATGATTTCAATTTTGCTAAAAATTCTCTAAATAAATTGGATAATGGCATCAACCCCTTAGCAAAATTACCAAAGTTCCCTTTTCACCCATAATGACGAAAATGCCTCTGGACTCCCAAATTACCAAAATACCCTTTCCAGCCCAAGGAGAAGATTGTCCTTCCATTTTTGTCTCTCACTTAACTACCTTCTATGCATGTGACCCAAAGGCTCTTCACTTTGCCGGCAGTGTCATGATAACTAATTAAGCATTAAGCAATTAGTGTTTTCATACACCAATCTAGATTGGCCTCTAGCAAGGCATCATTTGTTAGAGTAAGTGCCCTAGACCCAATCTATTATTATAAAATTGGCTCTATAATAAATGTTTATTTAGAATAAAAGGCATATTCTTCTATATCATGTAAATCATAGTTATATGTAATGATATATATCCTTAAGATGGTAGAACCATGACGAGTGTATCAAGTGTTTAAAATCTTGATAGTGAGAACCCTATGATCATATATGGTGGCCATTCTAGAAAGGTCTGTAGCCCTAGTATTATTCTGACCAAGGACACAGGTAATACGGTAAGGCTATCATAGTGTTGAATGGCCCTGTCGAAAGGTAGTAACTGATCTCACTTGTCAAGATTGTTTGCTGACAACCTAGTGCAACACATGGGTGCTTGCTAGAGGCAAGTTCATTGGACAGACCCACTAGAGGATTCCATATGGACGGTAACCCTAGTGTCTATGGAATAAATCTTCTAACGGATGGTGGTGCATGTGATCCTTAGACTTGAGATCACCGGAGCGCCTTGTGCACCAATTGGTGTAGTTTGACACTACCCCAGTGTAGTTGTATTTAAAGTTATCAATACAGTAGTGATTGGCTACATTGAGAAGTGTATCGAGACTATGGTGGATCGAAAAAGGATTCATCACTCTTGGGTACAGGAGAAGTTATCTCACTGAGTAATTCAGTAAATGGCAATAACACTAAATTTGTGGCCATAGTGGGATTGAGTTGTTGCTCAATCCAATTTTATATTCCTATCATTGGTCCAGTAACTGAATACAAACATGTCGAGGATATCTGAGGTTGACACTATTTCTGTACCTCAGTCTCAATGAGTAACATATGATGAAAGGATTTGATTACACGGTATCCATACCGTTGACAGGCTGCGATTTCACTAAATCCAAATCTATCGAGTGGCCATGATGCCTTGCTAGGGGCCAATCTTGGTTTGTGTGTAGTGAGACGATTAATTGGTGTTAATCGTGATACTACACACTGCCAGTATGATGAGGAGCCTACGGGTCACACACTTAGAAGATAATTTAAGAATCAATTTGTGGTAAGGGTATTTTTGTCTTTCAGGACGAAAGGGTATTTTTGTAATCTCATAGTGCAATTAAATTTGCTGAGTTGTTGCCTATATTTAATTTTAATATTAAAATTAAATTAGTGAGATTATATTTAAATATATCTATGCATATATTTAAATGAATTATTATTAATTAAATGTCAATATATTATTATATATTAATTGATTTTAATTATAATAATAATTAATTAATTAATTAAAATACCATAAAGAGGGTGTTTGGTCAGAAGGGTGAACTAGGGTTGGAGCCCATGGCTATTCATAAGTGGAATAGGGTTTTAATTGTTGCACTATATAAGTGCAACTTCAAATTAAAACAAGAGATAATGATTATTCAATAATTAAAACACTAGCCACCCTTTTATTCTCTCTCTCACGCCTTACTCATTGATTGAAGAGAAATATTATTTCTCTTCTTGACTCATTGAAAAACTTGATTCTTGAAGCCATCAAGAGGATCTAGCAAATCACTAGTTCTACGGATTATCTTCGTGTTGACGACGTGAGTGTGATTCTACTTTGAATCGAGAGCGAAATCAAATCAGAGATATTGAAAGAGCCTCCAAACGTTGGTAATGTATTCTGAATCCTTATATGGGTTAGACTTTGATTTATACAGATTTTGTTTACACTTTTTCGTTTATAATGTTATAATCTTTGCCCGGATTTTGGGTCGTTAATGTGATGATTAGATTCGTTTTGTTTTTTATATTGTTGTCTTTTGCCATGCACAAATATGTTTCACTCACTTACATCATGAATCACCGGTAAGTAAAGAATTAGCGATTTAGGCTTATCTTGTCTTCAGTATGGTTACTGTGCAATTCGATCTGTTTCATGATCTTTTATCTTATCTAGGTTTGAGATATAGAAATGGTGTCTACCTCAAAAGCTACCTTGACATGTTCTATATTTAGTTCTTGAATCTGATGACTATTGGATTCAAGCACCAACTCGGTTTCACCATGGCCACGGATTTGAGATCATAGTTCTTTAACCAAATATCTTGCTAAGATAAGATCTCCTACAATCAGAAGTGATGAATCCTTTGTTGATCCACCATAGCCATAGTGTACTTCTTGATGTAACCAATCACCACCAGTTTGCTAATCCCTAAAAGAGACAACACTAGGCTAGTGTCAAATCACATCGATATTTACACACAACGCTCTGGTGATCTGAAGATCCATAAGAGGATATATTCCACAAACACTAGGTTTACCATCTCGTGTGGAATCCTCTGATGGGTCAGTCTAATGCACTTGCACAAGCAAGCACTCATGCGTTGTACCAGGATGATGCCCACAACGTTGACATGTGAGATCTATCACTACCTTTTGACAGGCTCATTCAACATGATGATAGTCTCTCCGTATAATCTATATCCTTGGTCAGATTTACACTATGACTACGGACAGTTTAAGAAGGGCCACCTTCTGCTCATAAGGTTCTCACAATTAAGACTTGTAAAACTTAATCTCCTTGTCACTGGTTCCAACCTTTCTAAGCACATATACTATTCTCTTTATGCGCAGTAAATAGATGCTACAGTATATGCTCATAAATAAGCGATGCCTTTTAATTTGAAATGAGTTTACAAGAGCTAAGTCGTTGGCTTTAGTGCACCTACGTAAACAATCATTATGGAAGAACCACCAAGTGAGCCACAAAAAGATGATTCAAAGAAAGTAAATGTGCCAAGGACAAGAAAGGAAAAGCTACCTTTTCCTGAGATTCCACATAGCCTTGCACATCACACACCTCTAGTGCCATTTCCTTAGAGACTCAAAAAGCCAAACTAGGATAAGCAATTCTTTAAATTACTTGAAGTATTTAAAATATTGTAAATTAACATTCCTTTTGCAGATGCATTGTAACAAATGCCGAGCAACGCCAAATTCCTTAAGGAGATTCTTTCAAATAAGAGGAAGCTTAAAGAGGATGAAACTGTGATGCTCACAAAAGAATGCAATGCCATAATCCAAAAGAAGTTGCCTCCAAAGCTTAAAGATCTAAGGAGTTTCACTATTCCTTGTGTTATAGGAAATGTTCAGTTTGATATAGTTCTATGTGATTTAGGTGCTAGTACTAACCTAATGCCTCT